ATCAGCTGCGGCTGGTTCGCAGGAACTACAGGCATTGCTCGGTTCAGACACCTTTAGGACGTGCAATTCATCTATCTCGATTTACAAAAGCGGGGACCTATTAGGTCTATGAATCTAGTGTCTGGTCTAGGTCAGTCTCCCAACTGTGCACGCTTCTAACACTTCCGTGTTTAGTCACGTGACGCTCACACGAGCCCTCCATTGGCCGGTTGGAAACAGACGCTTTGCTGATTTGAGATCAGTTTTGCTGTTGCAGTCTACAGTAGCAGCATCGCCTGTACTGAGCTGAGTTCAGTATCAAGTCTGATGGTTACACACCAGATAATGACTGACGGCGCAAACTGATTAATACATTTGGAAAATGATTTATTATGTCGAATAATGAGGACATCTGCTATCCTAAATGAAAATACACATATCTGAAACTGTGCCGAAGTTGAAGACATGTGAGTCTTCTTTTAGTTTTCATTTTATTTTTTTATTCATTTATTTTAACATATAGTCTGTATAGGCTTATAACATGTTATGTGACTGGGTACTATTATGTAGGCCTACTAATCTGTTATTATTGTAACATTAGCCTATTTATGTCACCATCCTGTTGAAAAAAATGGATTACTATAAATATGAGCAAAATCACTCTCTCAAAATCCAGAAAATCTGAACTCACAAGCAGCCAAAAACTAGTTTAAATCCGTCTGAAGCTTTTTAAATCTGACCCATACTTTCAACACATTTGTCACGAGCGAATAGGAATAGGACTATAATAATGCTTACTACATAATGTATACTGTATGCAGTAAACACTAAAGGCCTACGCTGTGTGTTTGTAATAAACAAATCCATACAACCATTTTTCCAGTGAAAAGTTTGTCTGAATCTGGAGAGCGAAATATGCATAGATCGAGCACCGTTTACAAGTGATATAAACACCATTTACAACATTTTGATATGAAAGGACAACAGAGGATGGACTTTTTCCACTGAGAAGCAACTTAAGTTAAAAATGACTTAATGATTAATTCGTTTTTTTTACAAACAGGCCGCTTTTTGCTTTACAAGATGTTAACTGCATGGACAGGAGTGGTGTGGATTACTGTGATGTTTTTATCAGCTGTTTGGACT